TTCATTTTTGTCTTATTTTAAGAAATTGCATAGCTACCCCAGAATTTAGCAACTGCTACCCTGATCAGTCAGCCATCAACCTTAAAGCAAGACCCTCCACCAGCAAAAACATTATTACTCTTGCTGAAGTCTCAAATGTTTATTAGCATCTTTTGGCAATAAAATGTTTTTCAATTAAGGTATGTACTTTTTTTTTTAGATAAAATGCTATTGCGGCAGTAATAGACTGTAGTATAGTCTAAATATAACTTTTATATATGCACTGGGAAGCAAAAAATTTCATGTGAATCCCTTTATTATGATACTCATTTTATTGCAGTGGTTGGAACCAAACCTACAATATCACCAAGGTATGCCCATATATATATCATTGATATATATATAGGCATATATATATATATATATACATACACACACACACACACACACACACACACATTTACACACATACAACATGACATGAATATAACACAATAGCTATTTATATATAACATGCATATCCACAAGAAAGATAACTTAATTTCATTTATATAAATTCGTGAATTTAGGAAATGAGAAATAAGATTCTTATATATGAGTATTTTAAAATTTAATGGAATAATATCGATTTTTAACTAATAAGCTTTAAATATATATATCATTTGCTATTAATAAATAGATATTAGTAATGCAAAAGTACCCAAAACACCTTTGTGGGTGTTTTGTTATCAATTCAAATTTAGAAATACGTCTTTGTCTCTAGAATAGACATCCAAGTCATCTTTAACACTTCCTACTCCTTAACTTCTTTAATGATGCTTGCTAAAATTGTATTTCTTGTCCATTGCTACTTATATTCAAATATTTTTTAGACTGGAGTATAAAAAGTTTCCCAACTCCCTTTCTTAACTTTATTTTCCTCTACCTTATCCTATCACCTTTCTATTAAACCAATTTTCTCTTCATTCATTTAGCATGTCATATTCCTGCTTTGTTGCATTTCTCCCTCCCTAAAACATCTCTTCTCCTTTCTACCTGCAATCTGCAAAGCCAAGCTCACTCTTATTTTCACCTTTAACTACAGTATTCTCTAAAGATTGAAGCCTAAAATCAGATCTCCCTTAATTCCTATAGCGTTCACTCTGGTATATGATCAGCACTGCTCAAATAAGCACCAAATGAGGAAAGAAAGAAGTAAATTCAGACCAAGTTTTGTTGTTTTATTATTTTTGTCCCACACAATATCCAGCAAAGTTCTTGTCACATGGTAGATTTTATAAGTGCTCATTAGCTAATTAATTTACAACAGGGAAAGTAAATGATACAAAATGAATTTTCATTGTGAAGAGCACTATAACCTCTATAGTTTTGCTTTAATTTCAAGTTTATGTTCACTAAATGAGAAATACAAATGAATCATACTTTTAAGCATTTAAATTGTCAATTCTAATAGTCATACTATAATATTTGCTATTTTAGCTAACTTACATGAATGCAAATTCAGCTTTCAGATATCTAAACTTCCCTTTATAATAAAAATTGGATGGTGTTTTGAAGATTAAATATTAAAAATATCAAATGATAAGCAAAGCACTGTCATGTCAGTTGTCCCCTCTCTTTTATCTTTTTTTCCCTCTGTTTACTTGGTCTTTCACATTAGCATGTAATCATGCTATAATTTTTCACATATGTACCTTTTTAGTAAAGTTTTATTGATCACACAGCTTCCACTAGCTACTGCAAAACACCTCAGTGTAACTATCTATTCCAGTACTTCTTAAACTCTAATACGCATATAGATATCTGAGAATCTCATTAAAATTAAATTATGATTCAGAAGGTATATGCTTCTGGCTTTAATAAATTATCACAAAACTTAGTAGTTTAAAACAATAAACATTTATTTGGACACAGCCTTGCTGGGTACCTCTGGCTCAGGATCTTTCCCATAGCTGTAGTCAAGATGTTGGCCTCGATGTTGGCATCTCTAGGCTTGACTTGGGGCAGAATCTCTTCCAAGTTATTTTCCTTGGCTGTTGACAGGCCTTATGTCTTTGCTTGCTCTTGGCCAAAGACATCTGTCCTTGGCTATGTGTGCCTCTCCATAGGGCAGCTCACAGCCTAGCTACTTGCTGCAGTGGGGGACAGTGGAGAGGGCAAGCAAGACAGAGCCAAAATTATTTTGTAACCTAATCTCATAAGTAAAATCTCATCACTTTTGCCATATTCTGTGTATTAGAAGGCAGTTACTAGAACCAGAACACATTCAAGGAGAGGGGATTACACAGAACATAAATACCAGGAAGTGGGTGTCATTGGAGGTTCTATATTAGAGACTGTCTGCCACTGTTAATTTAGGGTGGGCTCTGAAAGTTTGCATTTCTAAGAAACTCCTAGATGATACCACTGCTCCATACAAAGAATCTCACTTTGAAAGGCAAGGGTCCTGCCTTTAGTTCCTTTCTTTCTGTCATCCTCTATTGGTCACACTGTCTCTAATTAGGATATCTCACTCTCCACTCCACTAAAACTACCCTCGGTGAAGTTACCAATGACCTCCATATTATTAAATCCAGCATTTAAAAGAATTGACTACTCTTTCTGATAGTCTTTCTCAACTTGGCTTCTGGAACACCAAACTTACATTTCTTCTCAGTTACTAATTACTTATCTCCCTAACTCTCTATGTTAGTGTATCCACAGTCTAACTTTTGAATCTACAGTTAACTCCTAAATGGTCTCATTAAGATTTATAGCTTTAAATTCCAGATATAGCTAACCACTATTAAATTTATGTCTCCTATGTGGACTTTTCCCCGAAAATTCTAACAAGTTTATCAAGTATCTAATGAACACCTTAATTTGCATATCTAATAGTAATTTCAAACTTAAAATGTCTAAAACAGAGCTCTTAATTCTTTCCTCCACTTTCCAGGTCCCACCTGGCAGTTTTGCTTCTCACCATATTTACAAACCCAGTAAACAGAACAATTCATCAGTCATTAAAGTTAAAGGCCTGGAGTTATCCTGCATCTTTTTTTATTCTCATATGTATCAGTTATTAAGTTTTGTCAGTACATTCCTTAAATATCACTTGAATCCCCCCTCACTCTCCATCCCAGTATCACCTCCCTAGTCCAGACCATTGTTACCTTTTATACAGATTTCTGCATTTGTTTACTAGTTGATTACAACTTCCAACCTCCAACAAAACTAATGCTACTCAACCAGTTTGTTTTCCACATTCATGGTTTCCTTTGTCTTGTAGGATAGTTTAGATTTTTTAATATTGTTCATAAAAGTATAAATAATCTGGCTCCTTACTCCTTCCCCAATCCTGTTTTTTTCTACTTCCCTACCTACATTCTGTACTTCAGCAATACAGGGACTGAGCTATGATGTAATAATTCCATTTAACTTTGAATCTTCATGATAGTTGTTTCCCTCCCTGAAATACTCTTCCTTCTCTTCTTTGCCTGACTAGCTTTTCTTTAATTCAAGTTTCAGCTTAAACATGACTTTATGACTGTTTCCTGGAGGCCAGCTTTTACCTCTTGGACTGACTTGAGGCAACCGCAAGGGAGTCTATAGTATTATGTACTTCAATGTCTTAACTCTCATTATGTTTTATATTAATCATTTAATTATTTTTCTCTCATTTAATGGGAAGACCTAGGAAGGCCACATCCACAGAGGTAGATCCAGGTATTTTGGAGACTAAAAGATATAATCTGAGGAACCTGATTTTGTAAAAATACAAAAATGTTATATGTACACACCCAATTAGGTACAAAAGTGACTATTCATTTATGATAAGAAGTCACAACAAAGTATAAAATTATGAAAACTGACAATTATAAAAATATAGAGTGAACACACTGCTAGGGGCCCTTTTCAGAAGCCCAAAACCTCAGTCTTCATTATTCATTACAGTCCCATTACATCTTAGTTTCTTCAAAGCTCTAATTCTAGTGCCAAGAGCAGTGCTTACCACATAGCAGGTATTCAATAAATATTTTTGAGTGAATATATCAACTGCTATTTAGAGTTATATTTTGCTACATGCAGCATTCAACAAGTTTTTCATAAATTGGATTTTTTTAAAACTATATATTACAAAATTGTTCTTATGGTTATTATTTTCAGTTATTTGCTGTGGTCCTATTTCAGGTGATAGATAATATACATTACTTGTTATATCTGTTAGCATATCATTAAGCTCCGTACCCTTTTACTAATTTAAAAAACCCACTTGATTTGCTTCAGAAATATGCAGAATTGTCTTTTCTGTGAGTGTGTATGTATGTTTGTATGTGTTTGTATTTTTAGGTTACATAAGAATAGAACTTTAACATTAATTTTGGATTACTATGATTTTTCTTTAGACAAAATTCTTTGGGGGATGCCATCTACTTTTCATTTTCTTTGTAATATATTTTTGTAAATATTTATCTCTGGAATAATAAAGATGCCAATATTCTATATAACTTAAAGAATACATAAGGTATTTTATTTGCTGTGAATTTGACCATAAGATATTATTTAAGAGGTTATTTGAATCAAGATAGTGACATAGCATTCAAAAGATAAGCTACTTTACTTAAATCTTTATAGTTTAGTTTGTTAAAATAAAGGTAAGTTTAGTTAAGTTCCTTTTATAATAACATTGTAAATTTGTTGAGAAGTTGCTGTGCTCATATCAAGATTGTGTGTGTGTGTGTGTGTGTGTGTGTGATAAAGTGCAACCCTCTGATCAATGCGCACTTTTTCCTCCATTTTCCTAAATACATCATGAAAAAAGGATGAGGTTTCCGCCTTAATTGCTTGTGCCTTTTATTCACATTCCTCTCTCAGCCAGAATTGTGAAAAGAGTGTTAGTAAAAGGCTGCACAATAGAGCTTTTCATTAGGCCTCAGCAAGGCACACAAAAGAAGGCTTTTGGAAAGAGTGAATGCATGAGTTTAATTTGCAGGTGGAGAGTAGATAAAAGGTGCTGACGCCTCTATTATTCTCTTACTTAGGTGACCCTTACCCCGTTCAGCTGATCCCAACTACCATGGCAGCTGCTGCCGCTGCAACACCAGGCTTAGGCCCACTCCAACTGCAGGTAAGTCAGGAAACAAAACGGAGGAGACAAAGGTTAAGTAAATATCGAAAACAGCTATTATTGTGTTGAAGCAAAATAAAACTGGCTGGTGATATTTGTCTCACACTTTTTGTGTTTTTAAATTTATTTGTACTGATCCTTAACCCAAAACTGAGATATAATACTTTTAACTTTTAGCCCCATTTTCTGTACTAAAGATCATGTATTGTAATTTTTTTGTTGCCTAGTATGATTTAAGAAAGTGAGCTATAGTTTTGCTTTGATTACTCTGTGCTATAATTTTGTCACAGAATGGTCCCCATCAAGACAAAAAGAACAAAACACCCTACAAAAGATATTCAGACACATGTGGACCAAGGCAACTTAACTAAAAATGCATTTAAATCTTCTAAAATATTATTGAAGCACTCTATAGGTCCGTTTGTTCTCCTGCTAATGCCAGCTTGGTTGGGCAAGCAAGGAAAAGTACACCAAATAAACAGGTACCTAAATAAGCACAACTTTATCCCAGACATCCCAATTAAAACCTTTAAACCCTGCAGAATACATATTCCTATACATTCTTATCATCAACAAGAATGTCAATTATAACTTTACCAGAAGTCCAAGTGACTTTAGAAATTCTGCCCCTGAAGTCACAAAGAAAATCAACAAAATTATAATAAAAGTAGCTTTTACTATCTAAATGTTTGAATCAGTATTCCATAAAATATTCCATAGTTTCCATTGTTAAGGGCCTTCTAATTATATAATTAATGGGAATTGTATGTCATCTAAAGATAGGACTAATCTCTCTTGTGAGAAGTTTTATGTTTCTGTGTAGCCTGAAAGACACAGTATGCCTGTAAAGCCTGATATATAAAGCAGTTATGCTTCATAAAATCAAATTGTTTTCATTAAAGTGCATTGTCATGATAGATGATCTTAGTCTATAAGGAAAATATAGTTTTATATTGTAGCATCAAGAGACAGATACATCTGGTTTGCACATGGGTTTGTCAGAAGACCTGGTGGGTTTTTGAAAGGCCAGTTGAGTTTCACAGGAGGAACTACCAGTGTGAAAGCTGAGACATACTGTGTTCTACAGAGGTTAATAACATTCATTTCTATTCTACCTTTTCTATGGAAAACTACACTGCGAGTATCTGTTTCTTTGAGCTGGAAATACTTTGGGAAGTGTTGGAGCCATGGGGACAATAAAAGTAACATGACATTTGTTATCCTTTGAAATGGCATCTGGGGAATAACTATAACATGGAAAAGTGATTGTAACAGGTAAAACTAAAAAGAGTAGTGGAATTAAAGGAAGGAGGGAAGGATATCCAGCAGTAGATTTGAATGTAGAGACAGGAGTTTTAGAGGTTTAGGAGGCTGATTTTCAAAGTTAGTTAGACATTCTCCTTTCACCATGGGATGAGTGGTGAGAGGAAGTGAAAGGGAGTTAGAGCCAGCCCCAATGTTTCATTGTAGGATTGCAGTGGAATGTAGCTGTTAAGAACAATCTAATCACTTTTTCCCGTAGAGATAGTATGAGAATATTTGGCACAAATTGTTTTATTTTCATTCTTATGCTATCAGATTCTCTAAAGGTTAAAAAATTTAAACAAATAATTTTCTTTATCACTAAGCAAGAAAAACTTTAAACACCAAACATATTTGCTCTTTCAATTACTATAATTTGATCTGTAAATGGATAAAGTTCCTTTTATTATATAAGTGGTATCGTACCGATTAAAATCCATGAGTTTCAGTTGAGGTCTCAAATAATCAGCACTGTAGTATAACAAGAAAATTAATAATCCAAAGCTTTTTCATGGAAAACCATCAACTACTATTAAAATACACTCACATAAACACACAAACACACACATATATTTTTTGTGGTGAGAAAAAAAGAAAACTTATTCAGATGCAAACACATTCCAAAAGCATGTCATGGCAGAGAATCTAGTTTTTCTTTCAAGTGGACTTATTCTCATTTTTACTAAGGTGCCTACACTAACTCACTTTTCTACTTGTTCCTTAAACAAAATTCATATAACCCTGACCTTTACTTCATCTTTTCCCAGAACTGCAAGGGATACCTGTTACTCTCACTCCTTCACTTTAAAATAGCATCCAAATTCTTTTCTTCTCCACAAACCTGCCCAGATGGGTCAGTGAAAAACTACCATGCCTAATCAGAAGTTCTACTAGTCTTTATCCAAAATTTACCCCAGTCTTGTAAACCTATTTTTGAGACATTTCATCTCAGTGGAGTATAATGTATGAGCTAGTTTTAATTTTCTCCAAACTCTGCTTTTAATTATACCCCAATAAATCTCAACTTTCCAATTCCTAATAATACCTTGAGTAGACTCCATCATTGTCCGGTTCTATCGGTTACTAAGATTCAGTCCTACTGCAAACTTTAATCCCGTACCCAGTTTACATCTCACTGCTTCCCCTTCCATCATGAAGCAGGAGTCCCAGCTCTAGAGATCAGAAATGAGAACGGGTGCTGCTTACTCCTGTGCTTCTTCTAACTCCAACTTAGTGCCTGTGTAGATGTGGGTTGAGGAAGGTGTGTCTGCCACCAAGATACCATGGGATGGTGTGTGTAGTGTTTTTGGGCATTGAACAGCATCCTTGATCTGTTAAGAAAGGAGTGGTCAGGTCTGTTGATCTGTGCTTCCAACCCTCTTTTTCTTTGGGGCATCACTACCACTGGTGAGCAGCTTCCTGGGTAACAAAACACTTGCCTTCATTCATCCTTGATGTTTCTCACTGGAGACCCCTGTGATCATCTGCTGTGCCCTCTAAGAGTTGTGGTGGTACTACATCACAGTCCTGGTCCCATCCTGCCACAAACACCCTACTCTTCCCCCACGGATCCACCCCTCCAGTTTCAGAAAACTGCAGAAGAGAAAACAGGCACTATTGTGTCTTCAGTTACAGACACTTCCAAGCTGTACACTGTTGATTCCATTTAAGAACCTTCTCATCATACTGCTAATGGTGGAGGCTTTTGGTTTTTAGCTAAACAATCAGTTAAAGAACAACATGCAAGTTTTTCCTTTTTTCTGGCTTCTCCAGTTTTTATGAGTTCTGCCTCCTCGTTGGGTAGGGAGGGAGGAGCACTAAGAACCAAGCCCTCCCATAAAGCTGTAAATCCAATCTTCTCTCTCTTCAGCTCCCTCACCAAATATCTGCTCATATATATTGTGGGGGTGGGAAGATGGTGCAGAGGAGGGTGAGAAAGAGATAAGACCAAGAGTGTTGATTGAAGTAGGGCTAGACCAGTCAGGTTTTAATAATGGGAGATGATGGAACGGATGTTGTCTGGTACCAGTTGCTGGTGTCTTTCTTTAGAACCACTGGAGAATTTGTTGTTGGCTTATTTACTTACAGGTATAGTTTTCTGTCATTGTATAATCTGTTCTCATTTGTTTTAAGTAGAACTGTACTTCATAAGGCAACAGTAAGATGAGTTATAACAGGAGGAAGACCAGTTGGAGGAACAACTGAAATGGCCTCAACAAAGAAAAAGTGATTACCTGAGTTAATCCTCATTCAGTGGTAGTGAGAAGAGTGGGGAGGGAATATATATTTTAAACAAAACCAGGATGCTGTTTCCTTTCCCTTGGGCCTAAACATTATTATTTTAACTCAGTAAGTGTTGTAATAAGTGATGTCACTAGCTAATACCCGCTATTGTTTATGGAATACTTTCTTAAGCTTGGTAAGAGTTTAAAGGCATTATCTCATTTAATTCTTACTAGAACACTGTGCTATGTATTAACATCCTCTTTTGACAAAGAAATAAACTGGGCCACAGAGTCTGAAACCTATGATCTTTGAACAATTATATTTGCTTCTCCAAGTACAGGAGATTTTATTTTGAACTTTGGAGAACTCTTTAGACATTGGCTAACTCAGTAACTGGCTAATGAAATTATAATAATAACCCTAACTGCCACTAACACAGATACTCTGTGTGGTGTGCTTTGCAATAATGAAATGAGTAGCAGGATTCGTAATGACAGCTGTCTATTTCAGACTCTTAATTTTTCATTTCATGCCTCCTTACACAGATATATGTTAATTCAAATATTTCTTTTGAGCACTTAGATCTAATGAGAAACACTATAAATCTATTCCTACTCATGGTTGACTTTGTTTACCTACTGTATGTGTTTTCTGCTGAAATAACCTTTTACACAGAATTGTTCACATTTGGATAATATGATAAGTTAAACCAGAACTTTTTTTAAAGAATGAACAGAGAAAAGTACAATTATTTTAAAAGACAAACAAAATGACATGCTTTAGATAAACCACTGTTTATTACTTAATTATTATTTTATGTCCCTGAAGAACCTTACCATATAATAAAAACTTCATATAAAAAAAAAAATCACCTTGGGCAACCCTCTTGGGTCCCCTTCCACTGTGAGAGCTTTTCTGTCCTCTCAATAAATCCTACTTTCGAGGAAAAAAAATCAGCTGTATACTTTTAGAGGCAGTTAAAATATTCTAAACATTGTCTTATATGTATTTTTATTTTTTATGGTTTCTGTATATAAGTAATACCTATCTAGATTACGTACTTAAATGATACAAATTAGTATGTTGTGCCAAGATACCATTTTATTAATTTTTTAAACACTAAATCTGTCTTTGTCTCTTTGGTCTTTTAAATTATTTTGAGCTTCATATTGGTCAACTGCTTTTTGGACATCGAGAAGAAATATATAGATATTTGCAGATATTATGCACTGAGTCCAAAATGGAACTCACCAGTAGTTGTCTGTCTTGCTATTAGACCTGCTTATTCTTTCGTCTTAGTGAATGACTCCATTTCACCTGTTTCTCAACCCAAAAACCTGAAAACTGTCCTTAGCTCCTTTTCTTCCCTCTTCCCCTACATCTAGTCATTCACTAGCTATTCACCTCACCCTCTAAAATACAAGGTATCCATATGCTTCCATCATAACTATTACTCTTTGGTGTCATGCTAC